GGCGTCAGCAAGCGCTGGAACTTGTCGCCTAATCTCGGCAATCACCTCATCATGGGACATGCCATCGTGCAAGTTTTCAACCACAGTAAAGCGGTTGTCTTCCTCTGATGATGATGAGGCTGCCGTAGAAACCGCATGAAGAGCTGGCAGGACTTCCAAAAAGCATTTGCGGGATGCCTCAAACCTCTCCACGAACCTTCCGATGAGACCCTCCTTCTTCATCTTCTTTGGGATGTCATCTTGGTCGGCGCCCATTTGAACAAAGAGGCCTTTGATGTCCTTGACTGTCATGTTAGTGAGCAACTCCTTCATCCTCTGCACATTGCCAGTGATGTTCCAATCCTCAAATTGGTCGGTGCCAATGGGTGGGGTCAAATCCAACCTTGCGCCACATGGCACTTCAAATGCCTTCATGCCCTCCTTGGTCATTGCGAACACCAAGGTGGATGCCATTGACAAAGCAAATAGCAAGGGACAAATGCAACAGCTTGAACTCTCACAAAATGCTCTGGGATTTCACGCACCATGCATCAAATGTGCAACCCGGCTTCAAGCTCCAAAGTATGCATCCACTTGCTCACTGACCCAGCCAATCCCACTTCCTGCCTCTGGGTTCTTGTAGGTGATGTTCCCGAAGCGTGCGGGGCGAGACGGTGGCCGTTTCGTTTTTGTTGTCGGTGTTTTGTAAAAATCTATTGTATGGTCGGTTGTTTGGTTTTTTGTTTGGTGTTTTTTTTCTATGAGGGTCTTACCCCTAAGCTCATGTTATGGTTTTGGTATGGTTGATTTGGGGGGCAGTTATTAAATGGGGTGAAAACCATAGGGGGGAGTCTATGGTATTTGCTTGTGGGTTAGCTACTGCTTGCTCTAAGGGGGGGGTTATCCTCTATCCTCTCTTAGGTATCCGACACGCCGAACAATGTCGGCGGACTTTTCCGAGCCAGATGCATTTCTGCATCCGTAGGTCTGCTTTTGGAAGTTTCTTGTGTTGTGGTGGAAGGTAAAGTAGTGTCTCGCCAAATTCGCAGATTGCTCGCTCGTAGTTTCTTCCCCAGCGGCGTTCAAAACTTGTGTAGCCGTCTGAGTGAATGACGTAGCGATTTACCGTCCATGCTGTATGTCGTACTATCCAAGGTAGTAGACAGTGCTTTGTGGACATCGTCATGCTGTAGTTGCTTTCAACCTGAGCTTTGACGACGCGGATTTGTCCGAGAAGTGTTCTATGTAGTCGCTCAACGCTTCCTTGACTGTTGCTGCTGTAGGATGGTGAATGTCGTACAGTCATTGAGCCGACTTTAGATGCTGTTGCTTTTAGTAGTGCATGCTTTGTAGTATGCCTTGTGTTCTTCCGCATTCAAAGATGAATGCTTGTAGGTTGTTGATCATGTAGTCTATCATTGATGGTTTGCCCGGAACCAATACCGCCATGCACAGTTGTGTAGTAACATCAACTGCTGTTAAGACTGGTATGGTCTTCGGATCTTGTTGTGATTTGATGTAGGCAAAATCCACTTGGATGATGGGTTGTCGTGATTGTTGTTTCTTGTAGTTGTCCTGGCGTCCTTTGCCTTGAACGCAAATTGGACACCAATTTCTGTATGGTAGGTGTGTCAAGTTGTGTTCTGCTATCTGTTGTGGAGTGGGCTGCTGCGGTTGTCGTAGTCCTATTGCTCTGTGTGCTTCATGATGCTCGTGTTGTTGTTCCTCGTCGTGGTTATCCTGGATGTACTCGTAGTCTTTCTTCACGGTGAACCTTGTTGTTCCTTTCCATTGAAATGGTAGTGCTGCGTTGCCTATGACTGTCCAGTCATCTTTGCGTTGCGAAACTTCTCCAAAGTGGTTGTGAGTGATTGTAGTTCTGTGAGGTTCAAGTGTGCTGATTGGTGGATGTCCTGGTCCATCTGTTGGAGTGAATAGAGTTGTTCTAAGTGTTGTGTGGTGTCTTATCCAGTATTCACCTTGTCTTTCCCAGTAGTCTTGGTTGTCCTCCTGTGCTGTGAGTGGTCTGTGGATTGTCTCCTTTGGTTGTGTGGTGTCAAGATTTTTAGAAGGTGCTGCTTTAGGTCTCCATATCTTTTGTGGTGCTCGTAGTTGGATCTTTGATCTGGTTGGTGGTGTGTCCATTAGCCGTTGTGGTTGTGAGCTCTGCCTTGTTGGTGTGGTCTTTGATGTTGCTCTGCGTGTAGGTGTTATCTTTCTTCTGAATTTGGTTTCTCCCCCCCAGTCCAGTTGTCACCTTCTAGTCTTCGTTGTAGTTCTTGCTTGGAAAGTTGTGTTGGGTTCTCTTGTAGTTGTTCCTGCTCTTGCCCTTGTCTGTTGATGATGGTTAGTCGCCAATCATCTAGTTCTCCTTCAGGTATTGGGCAACCGCTGTTGTGTGGTGTGAATAATGCTTTGCGTGGTCGTTTGTGTACTCTGACGGCGTAGTCACCATCAAGTTTCAAGTAGTCAGTGTTTCCACCAAGGATCTGTCGTAGTCCTTGGTCTGTGTGGGTGAGTGGTGCAATTTGTTCTTGTTGTTGTACTGTTTTCTCTGTAGGTTGAATCACAGCAATGGATTTTCCATTGTCTGTAGTCATTGGGTAGATGTCGAATCCTGTAGAGATGTCGATCTTCTCTGCTCGTAGGTAGAAAAGTCCTGAGTGTCTTATGAGGTGTGCTTGTTGTTGTCCATGCGTGATGGTGCAGTGTCGTGGAGTGAAGTCAAGTCCATATCCTCTATCAAGTAGTCTTGATGCACTGAGGATTGGATACTTCACATCACAAACGTAGTAGGGTATCATGATCCTGAAGTTGTCCTGCTTCTAGGGAACATACTTGATGCCGTAGACAGGAATCTTCTTGTTTGTAACCGTGTAGAGTTGTGGAACCGATTCTCCACAAGGTCGTAGCGGTAGGTCTGGTGCGTAGTCCTTCGGGCAAACATGTGTAGATGCTCCTGACTCGATCAACAGGTGGTGGTATGACTTGAAGTTGGAGTACATGATGTAGTGTGTGATGGTGTCCTCAATCTTCTTGTTCCTTTGTTGTTGTCTTGCTGCTGCTATGTCAAAGTGTGGCTGCGTGTTGTCTTCTTGTAGGAATTGTTGAAAGCTCTTGCTGCGGTCGTTCCATGATCTTGTGTGTGTTGTTCTCTTGCAAAGTAGTGATTTGGATTTGTGCTTGTGTAGTCGTGAGTTTGCTTGTCTGATGTGTCCAATGGTAAGGTGTGACTCGTTGATGCCTCCAATGTAGTTTGCTGTGTCCTCATAGCTGTTGTCATTCCAATCCCAGCTGTTGTCATAGTCGTAGTCGTTCCAGTTCTCCTCCATGTAGTTCACCTCGTGTTGTCCTTTTTTTTTCTCGTAGTACCAGTCCCAAGTGTCGTTCACATCCTGAGGTAGTTCTTCATTGTTGTCATGATCTGCTTGTTCTTGCTCTAGTGGATGTAGTTCTTCTCCTTCTCCTATGTGCCATACTGGCACTCTGCAGTCTTGTGCCCAGTGGCCAGGCTTGCCACATCGATGGCATGTTGTGTAGTTGTTGTTTCCTTTTCCTTTTGATTTGCTGTAGTTTCCTTGGCCTTTGTAGCCTTTGCTTGATCCATATCCTTTGGATCCTGAGTAGCCTTTTCCTTTGCTCTTGTTGTATCCTCCTTTGTTGTAGTTTCCTTTGCTGCCTTTGTCGAATCCTTTGTAGTGGCCTTTGTTTCTGTACTTGCCTTTTCCTTTGTTTCCTTTGTAGGATCCTTTGCCTCCATGTTTGCTTTTGCCTTTGTAGTTTCTTCCTTTCCTCCAAATGTTGTCCACGTCCATGGGTGCTGTTCCACCATTGTAGTTTGTACGCTCTTGAGACTGCAGATATGGTCTTGTAGTAGTCCAGGATGACAACCCTGATCTCGTTGTAGTTCGTGATCTGTCCAGCACGTAGTTGGAGATGTTGTTGAAGTGCTCCTTTGGTCTTGTTGAGTAGTATTGCAATCTTCATCTGGTAGTGCTGTGCCGTTGTCTTTCTCGTAGCGGTTGATGTCATACTCCCACTGTAGGAATTGTTCTTCAAATTGTGCTTCATTGAACGTAGGTTCCAGTAGTTTGGTGAGGTAGCCAACACTGCGTGTTCCTACTGGTAGGCTGAACCTGTTGTGCAAAAGCCGTAGTGTTTCACATCCATTGGCATTGTAGCGGTTTTGTCTGACCACTGTAGCTGCTGCACCTTGGCAGATGTTGATGAGGATGTAGTGTAGATCTCGTGAGAGGTCTACTGCTTTTGCTGCCTGTGTAGGGTCGCGTATGTGGGCTCTGATGTCTGCATCTTCAATTTGTCTTGTAGCTGCTTGTGCTAGTTGTAGTACCATGTCGAAGTCTCGGTCGATGAGTCCGAGGTATGCTTGTAGTTTGAACAGCCACTCTTCGTACTGTGAGTAGTCACCAGTGAAGAACGGTGGTGGCAGTTTGTATTTGTGTAGCCTTTGGACGTCTTCCTGCTCCTGTGTTGTTCCCGTAGTTGTGGCTCCTATTGTCTCCTCTGCTGTGGGCCCGTTGTCTGCTCCTGTAGTTGGTTGTGCTGATGCTGCTGCTGGTTCTCCTGACATGTCGTAGTAGTTAGGCATGTGGTTGCCTGTGCAGTTGTAGTACTTACTGCTGTTACTGGAGCTCCCCTATGTTTAGGATCTCAGCTCCGCTACCACGTTAAAATACGTCGTTACTTTACTACAAGTGCAAGTGTTGTTTATGCTGTCACAAACACAAATGTAGTTTCCCAGCATGCGCTCTTTTGCTTGTAGGCTCACGGCCTGCGGTCGAGTAGTGTACATCATGCATGTACAAGGGACAAGTAGTACAGCATGATATTTGACATTATTCACTCTCTCCCTCTCTCTGTCTGTCTTTGCTTATCCTTCCGGCAATTTCCCTCTTTCTCTTTCCATCAGGGTCCTTCGCTTTTTTGAGGCTACCCTGTTTTGGTTGGCACGGGGAAGCCGCCAGGACGCCCGCCATTTTTGTTCGGGTCTTGTGCAACAGGAGGCGATCGCCATCCTTTCTTCCTGGCCTGGGCTCGACGGCGTAACGGCGGCCTGGAAGGCCCGGGACGTGATTCTGAGTGACACGGGTGGCTCCTCATGTCTCTTTTTTGGGGGACCCCCCAAAAAAAACCTCTCACAGTTTGATATCCTCTTGGCCACCAGAAAGGGGGTACCCTCAACAAAAATGCACCACCCATATCCCACTCGAAAGGATCAACTTTCAGCCAGGGATCAACGAAGCACCAAGGTTTGAGGTTCGCCCATGAAGACTGCAGAGCCAAATTGAGAGCCCCAATGAACACAGGAGGGCCTCTAATCTCATTGGTTGTCAGATACCAAAGAGCCTGACACCGCCACAGGTGGAACGGTGGAACAATGGAACAATGACCAAACCAACGAAGACTTCAATACAATGCACGGAAGACACGACCTGCACGTTTCCTGGCGTTGTTTATGCAGAGGCTTTGCTGCTGGAAGAGCAGCAGCGGGAGTTTCAGGGCGATCCGTTCCTGGACGACGCGTCCACCGAGTGTGGCAGCGAGCTCCCAGAGCTGCCTGGCACGAGGGAAGTTCCGAAAAGGACGTGGGAAGTCACCAAGTGAGCCACGTCCTCAAAACCGATTCGGGTAGATGAAGGCTAAGGGAGAATCCCCTTGCCATAAATAGCAGCGGAGATCCGCCTTCTAAACTCTTAAAGCATGGTTCTGGGATTACGACCATTTTTGTACCAGGTTTTGAGTATGACTCAAGTTTCTCCACAGAAAAGCAAACAGGGGATGAGCTCAAGGTGCCCCATGTTTTTAGGGAAGCGAGTAGATTTGATCATGGTTCAGATCAGAAGCGGTCAAAAATCACCGACATCTTCCGGTAGTCAAAGGGGTTAAATTGGGCACGCTCAACAAATGGCCATTCCACACAACGAGTATTGACGGCTTCTCATGTGTGAAACAACTCTTTACATCGGGTTGGTAGGGATGGTCATCAATCCCTCAATGGGGATTTTAGACAACCAGGTAAGGATTCCTATTTACTACGGCCGGCCCACAGAAGGAGCTTTGACCATGGCACATTGAGCAACTGATGGGAGTCTACTGTTGGTATGGGGAGGACGAGAAGGGAGGACAATTCAAATTTCCGTCACAAAATCAAGGGTTGGGACTACCCAATTTTTCAGTGTCCTCTTGGGGAAAGCAGTAGTTTTGTCCGGGGCTCATGGGTTCACCTGGTTGTGCTTGTGGGTGCCATCGCGTAGCACCAATCGCTTTGGGGAAGTGCCTTTGATACTCTGATAGCGAGAAGGTGCATGGCATAGCCTTGCTTGCTCTTAGTAGGGATTTAGTGAATTACCCTCCATTCCCAACAAGAACCCAGTAGAGTCATTGCCAGAGCCCTACTAAGGAGCAAGTTGAGGCGGGTTCAGTGAAACCAGTCTGGACCACAACCTGGCTTCTGGGCTTGACTGCTATTGGGTTGGATCTTTAGACTTGAACTTTTGGGGAAATGAACAAAACGTGTTTTCCACTCCACCCGCAAAAAAAGTTAAACTTTTTGTAGGGGGGTCAACAGCAACCAAGTGGGCAGCATTGCTCTGAGGCTCTCAGTGTGTTCAGCTGCATCCTCATCTCCAGGACCGGGATCCTACACGCCGACCCTCGGAAGCAATGCGACAGGGCAGTGGGGCAGCGGGGCAGCGGGCGCGAACAAGCGTCTCAACCGAGGAACCGCTCAATTTGGGGTGTTTCCTTTTGCCTCTTTTTTAAGACCAGCGCAAAAAATTCTCTGCACTCCAGTTCGGTCCAAACTGCCAATGTGTAGGTTTAGTTGCGCATCTGGGTTTCTTTTGTTTGAGGCTCGGTACCCATGCTTGCTCTGCTTTTAAGGGACACCAGAAGGACAACAAAGCCATTTTTGCTTGGGAGGGGAGGGGTTTTTGGATCCCCTCAAAAAAGACAGCCCCATTTGGCTGTGGGTCAAAACAAAACCAATGGTACGATTTTGGGGTTGGATTGAATCGGAAGTTCACTGGGGCCAACCGGCTTAGGGCTTTTGACCCATGGCCATTTTGTGCAACCAAAACCTGCAAAAGCATGGTGAGCCAAGAATCGATGTTTTTTCCTACGGAGGCGCGCACCCCGGAAATCGTCGTCTCGCCCGTGCCGCGCCGCGCCGTCGTCGCTCGGCGTTTCTCTCGCGCGGAGGAACTTCGAGGCGCTGCGGCCGCGCCTCGCCAAAGGCGCCCCCAGCTTCGGCCGCTACTGCGCCCGGGACCCGAAGGACCCGAAGGCGCGGAATGAGCCGCTGGCTGAAATGGAGACATATATATCTATATATATCTATATATTTATGTATACATATACATGGATATGGGTTAAACAGTGAACCACCAGAAAAAGGGTTAAGAAGTAAACCACCAGAAAACCTCAGGTTGATTTTTCCATGTTTCCATTTTCTGGTACCGATTTTGGATATTCTTAGTTTCCCCTGTTGGTTTTAAAGGGAATCGATTTCTAAGCCTGGACATAGGCTTATTGTTTTTTTTCTGCGGGCTTGGAGGTAACCCCCCCCCAACTTAGTATGTTAACTTGGCGGCTGTGCAGGCGAATCATCCGGTTTAAGCAGTTTAGTTGTTTTGTAGCAGTTTTTAGTTGGTGGAGTGGTTGGGTTCCACAAAAACAAGTACCGGGGGACCCCCAGGCGAGATTTCAAAAATCAATTCACCGGAGAGGCGTGATTTCAAAAAGCCAAGCCCCCCAGGCGGGATTTCAAGAGAACAAACACGAGGGCCCTCTGGGCGTGAATGCAAAATAAAGACCGGGACCGCGTGATTTCAACAAAAGACAACAACACTGGGAAAATCCAGCCGTTATTTCAACAAAAAAACACCGTGACCCCGAGGCGTGATTTCAACATATTCTACGATTCCAAGAAAGAAACACACCGGAGCCCCACGGACAAAATCCTGCACCACTTTGATACCATGGGAAGCCATTATTTGCTGGTATTTACAGGGGAATGATCATTCCAGGGTCTCTTATTTGCGTCCATATCCACAGTATTATTGGGGGGGGGGAGGCGAATGTTTGGACGCTGGCCATGCATCGACAGGAGAAAGCCGCAGAGGAAGAGGATGAGGCGACAGAGAGCATGGATCAAGAGGATGAGCGCTGCTCGACTTGGCTTTTGGCGCAGTCTTCTTTATTTTGTTGCATGTTTCTAGGGGCAGCTTCCATGTCCATTCTTTCCAGGGATCCTTCTTTCCAGAAAACCTCCAGAAACCCAGGGACAACGGATCCGGTTTTTGAAAAGAACGATGCTTGAAAAGAATGGAAAAGGAATCAACCCCGGGACTACTCGTTTGCCTTCAAACCAACGGGCCTAAAGTGGCGACCTTTTCGTTCGCGTGTCAGGCTTCACCTGTCGGGGTGGCAAGATCCTACCCACGCCGTCCACGCGCCCGCGACGCGACTCGGATGTAGTTTGAATCGAATCCAAAAGCGCCAAAGACCTGTAGCAGGGTTCACTTAAAGCTCTAGGGGTTGATTCATTTTCCATTCTTTTCAGCCATCGTTCTTTTCAAGAACTAGCCATTTCCCCAGGATTTTTGGTGGTTTTCTAGAAAGAAGGATCCCTGGAAAGAATGGGGAAGCTACCCCTAGAAAAGCTGCTGTTGTGGATGGGAAGCTCTTCGAAACTAACATTTAGACGATGTCACTTGAAGGAACCGCGTTTGATGAGTTTTGCTTTTAGTGGATGCTGCTCTTGGGTGAGCCGTGCTCATGTGACCTATCACCCAAAGGAGGTTCCTCATGCTTTTCAGTTTTCCGGATGCTGTACTTTTGGGCTTGCGTGCTGTTCCGTTTGTTCCGCCATTCGTCCAGAGGTGACATGTTTCTTTTTGTGCCCCTAGAAGGGTCTGTCCACTGGGTCAACCGTCCGCGACGCCGTTCCGTTTGGCTTTGAATTTCAACAGACGTACATCTCCCCGATGTTTTTTGCCGGCCAAAGGGTCATTTCCTCTTCGGATTCCCCTCCCACCAATCAACATGTAAACCGTTCGACGTTCGGGACCCGGCCCCGAAATAAAAGGAGAAATGTCTTCCACCAGGACCGATTCCCCATGTGACAAGGGTGGGGGTACACATTTGATTCAATTTGCCTTCCATTTTGCTCAAGGATATCGCTTATTTTTCCTTGTTGGTTTTAAAAGGAATCTATCACTACCGGACAAATTTTTATTTTTTTGCCAGGTGGCTTAAGCAAATAGAAGTTGTGCTCAGGGCCCACCATCTCTCAGCTGGACGCTCTGGCGGCAGCGCAGCGCCCGCTGAGCTACGTGGTCAGCGAGGACCCCCCGCTGCCGCTTCCGTTGGCGCAGGTGGAGGAGAGGTTTGGGCTGTTTTGGGCTGGGGCAAATGGCCGTGGGTCAAAAATAGGCACGCGTTTTGGGAACCCTGGTAAATGGAACCAAAGACTCAAACCTGCGGTTTCCTGGTGGTTTAACTTTGAGCCATACCCAAATCCATAAATAGCTGCAAGTACACACATGGTTTTGGGTCGACCATTTTTGTACCGGGTTTTGATTGTGACTGAAATGAGCGCCCGAAAAACGCGAAAGGCCAGTTGGGCAGGTGGCTACCGCCTCGTTTTGGGGGAGGGCTGCAAAGCTTGTTTGGAACATTGGCAAAGTGCTTGAAGCTGATCGGACGGGATATGGAGGGGCGGAGCAAACGACAAAGCTGCTGACATCCGCGATCACTTGCGTTGGGTCCATAGTTGTGTAGATGGCACTGGCACTTTCTGGAAAGCCGCTGTTTTCTTCTTTGGCAGGGATGCTGCCCAGCTTGACGCACTTCAGAACACACGCATCATTTCCAGCGCGTCGCCGAAGGCCTCGGCTCCGGCTCCGGTGGAGACGGGTCGACTGGAGCGCCTGGAGAAGGTGCCGGGCCCCGGTCCCGGGGACTACGAGGTGAGTCTCGCGCCAGGCCGGGAGGATTTGCCCTGGTGAGGGGTGAAGGGTGGAGGGACGAAGTCCAAGCGCACCTGAGAAACCAAGGTTGCAATTCCATGGTTTGTTGGTATTTGCAGTGGAGTCATCATTTCAGGGTTTATCAGGTGGTGCGAAATGGATGGGGGGTTAGGCAAAGTTTTGAGGGAAACCAAGCGAGCAGACCAAACGAGCTCCTTTTGGCGAGGGGTCCTGCTGAGTGTGTTGACCAATCCAGTCCGGCCGCGAAAATGGCAGAATTTAGCTTGGGCCAGAAGAGCTAGAGGTTAGAGGATAGAGAAGGAGTCTTCGAGGCAAAGACGCTGGTGGGCGCAGGTTTGGCGGAAGCCAAGCAAAAACCAAAATCAGGGCACAAATTGAAGGGGTCTTGGGCGGGAAACCCAAAGCAAAAACCAACCACCCAAACGAGGGGCTCCTCTAAGCTTGTGAAGCCATTTGTGATTTTCAGGGTTCTCATGCCAAACCCACCCGTCCCAATGGCGACTTCGGTTTTTGTCGGCCAAGAACAAACAGCAACACGCTGCTGTGTGTCACTGCATTCATTCGGCGAGCCCATGGCTCCATCTGATTCCTTCGCTCTCTTTTTGTTTTCCCTTGCAGCGGCATTCTCGATCTGCACGTCTTGTCCAGCTTCTGGTTGCCCCTGCTCGGCAGCAGGGCCCGCCTGATTTCTTTTGCCGGTGCCGCGATTGCTTTGTGGTTCTTCTTGTTAGTCCCTGGAAAAAAGAGTTCCTCCAAGTTGGTGTGTGTTTTAAGGGATGGGAAGCCTACGGGAAACTTCCAAAAGGAGGGTCCGATTGGCCCTTGTCACAGGTGAAACTGGGAGTCGGTGCGGTGGCACTGGATCGGGCTGAGACAAACCAGAATCAGAATTCATATGAGAAAGGAGCCCTGCTTCGCCTTTGTGGCAAAAGAGCACAATTTGAGGAGGCGGCTGGACTGTTTGGAGGGGCACCAGGTGGTTGTGCAACCTTCACACGTGCCCTCCATTCAAACGGATTCAATCTGTTTTGGGGCGCTCATGCGTGGGTCCATTTTAGTAAGACATCCTCAAAATTAGCCTTTAAATCGTGGGCTTCAAAGGGAAGCCACCCCGAACAGAGATTTTGAGAACGGGCCCATGTTCACTTTAAGGCGCCCAGCCATTCAGGCGGCCCCTCTGCGGTGATTGCTCCTCCGCCGGAGCCAGCGCAGGAGGCCGGAGCTGGAGCTTGCGAGTTGCACTGCGGTTGGTTCAGTTAGAACCTACTTGCATGGCTGGAAAGTCCAATATATTTGGTCTGGTTTGAGTATCCATTTTTTTTGATCAAAACCTCACTGAAATTCCAAGTGCATGGGCATTCCAACCTGCTTGTGCCCTCTTGCGGTCCAAAGCTCCGCTTCCCCAAAACAGGGCTCCTTAAAAGACATTCACTTTTCGCCACCATTTGAAGCATGTTGCTTTTTCAACACCAAAATTAAGAACTGGACACCATTTACAAGTTGCAATGTTCTCAGCTGCGCCCACGGCCCCGTGCGAACTTGAGGTGAGTTGCAATGTTCAGGTGGTAAGGATCCCCGCAGGTTCCAACTTCTCTCCGGCCAGGTTCCACCGGGCCCCGGCCCGGCGGAGTACGACCTCCGCGCCTCCCAGGCGCCGATATCTGGGGAGAGTTCTGGGGGCTGTGTTAGCGGTTCGGTGGCCGCCCTTTTTTGGTTTTTTTTTCTCCTCCGGTTTGCTGGGGTTTTTCTGGTAAGACATGGGCTGCGGCCCTTTCATGGTTGTTGTTGGCAAACCTTTTTTTTCCCCTGTTTTTTTCTTCTCATGTTTGCTTGTATTGTGGTTTAGTGGTTGAAATCCAACCACTGAACTGCTGACATTTAAATCTTTGCTCCCCTTCCAATGTCAACCAAGCTTTGGCAGAATTTTTGGTTTGGTGGGTTCTTCGCTAGAAATGGGCCGCCCCAAAAAGGGCGCACGTTTTTATAGCAGAGCCACTGAACAACCGAGTGCTGGGTTCCGTTCTCCTGCTTTGGTTCCAAAAAACAGATGTTCTTCGTTTTGGGCAATGGAACCGGTTTGGTTCTACTTGAGGTTTCATTTGGGGGATACTGTGGATGGACAGAATCCACTTTGCACCAGTTTAGGTGGATAATGCCAGTGACTGGTGCTGGAGTAAGGAACCAAAAGTGGATGGGTTTTGGGCGGGTTGCTGGTACCCAAACATCTCCATTTGAGCAATCCCATCATTTGTGTCCGCCTGTGCAAAACCCACCTGAAAAGCGGGGGTTCCAGATTCCGAGCTAAGCCATTCGAAGCCCAATCTTTGGCTGGTGAGCCGGACAGAGGGCAGGCCATGGGCATTGGCTAATGCCGCGTCAGGCGCACGTCTTTCCCCGCGGCCCAGCAGCGGGCTTCGGGCTTTCCAGAGAGAGTTGGGAGCACCAGCGGTGCCCGGAGTACGCTGCTTGGTCGAAGAGCTCCGCCAGCTTGCGTTGTTGTGGCGAGGTGTGTGTGTGTGTGTGTGTTTTTGGTTTTGATGCCTTTGAATTGTCCACTGCCGGATTAAGCCCATGAACCACACGGCAAGCCCAACAGTGCAGGATTTGCTTGACATCAAGCGTGCATATGGGTGTGCCTTTCTTTAGGGGACTCCCCCAAGATTAATTTCGCTTTTCCTTTTGGTTTCAATTGAAATCCACAAGAAAAAGGCACCCCAAAGAAAGACGGACCCATATCACAGTCATTCATGTCCTGTCCAGATCGCTTCCTACGACGACCTGGATGTGAAGTATGTCACCGAGCCCCGGAGTGTGTCCGCGCTGATCCTCCCAAAGGAGCCTTGAAGATTCGGGTTTGCTGGGGCTCACTGGCCCTTGGGTCCCGCAAAGTAAGCATTCGAGGGGTTCTCATTGTTTTTGGAGCCCCAAATTGTGGGGTTCTCATTTTTGTTTACTCAGTTTTATTTGAACCACAGTTTGGAAAATGTGCCCAGTGCTTGTGGACAAGGCGTTCCTTTCCTGGAAACCATGACACCCAAGACACTTGGGTTTGTGATGTTTTGAGGGAACCCTTTTAGGTTTGATTGAATGGAACCAAAAGGAAAGCCAGAATTTCTAAAGTCCCCCCTATTTTGACACACACCCATGTATATAGAGTTTAAATATTCGCTGGCTGGGGATGTGCAGGAGAGCGAGGAAGCCGCGAGGGCGCGGCGCATCCTTCAATATCGCGCACCTGCCGGGGGAACAGGCACGGGCATTTGAACAGGAGTCACGCACATATAAGATTTGTATATATATATATATGCACTACATACTTTTTGTTGCTTATTTATGTCTATATGTACATCAACATGCACATATATGCATATATATATATACATACATAATGTACATATGCTTAGGTATAGAAGTCACTAGAATCCACTTGTCCAGGATGGTCAAACCATGTAAGCCGTACATTGCGTCTTTGGGATATCCACCGCCCCCCAAACCACTCCCTTAATATGGGCATAAAGTTGCTGACCGCATTTTTCCCTTAAAATTGGTAGACATAGCTGTGGGTCAAAACCCAGCAAACCCCTGGTGAACATCAAAATAGGTGGCAAATGGATGTTCATCCACCCCAAAATGGGATCGCCATAGGTTATGCCCCATGCCCACATCAGCTGGGAATCAGGCCCTGACTTGGGGCCCGGCGTCTATGACGAGTACCTGGTGCAGCGAATTCGCCCAGACTTGGCGGCAGGGGACCCGGGGGTCGCCAGCTGCGAAGTCAGCCCGGGGGAGATACAGCGGCTCAGAAATCGGGTACCCTCCCACTCAAGAACAAAGAAAGACGCAGACAACTCATACGAATCTGCGGTTTACTCGGTGCTTTGACCTAGTTGAACAAAGAAAGACACACACAGGAGTTTTTGGGTGCTGAAAGTTGAGCCACGCAACGATTGGCTCGTGAGGTGCTGCCCTGGCGACCCAAAGTCTTGCCAGAGCACTTGCTCGGCCTCTACCAGGCCACTGATCGTTCGTTGCGCTTCGCAGGCCACTCGTCGTTTCTTTGGACACCAAGAAGGATGGGCACTTTGCGATTTTTCTGAGAGACCCACCACCTCCGGGGCATTACTAATGGGGTTGGCATTGAAAGGCTCAGCCGGGTGGACACTGTATCCCTTGGAGCTAGGACAAAAGGCATTGGATTGGAGCTTATTTGCTGGAGCTATTATTTGCTTGCCTTGGGGTTTGTATGCGCATCCAGAGTCCCGTGATTCTGAGAAAAGCCCTTGCTTTTCATTTGCAGCTTGCAAGCACTCATGAAGGGATGCTTGCGTTTGAGGCACCATCGCTTTCTTCATGTTTCTGACCTTTGTGCGACTTTCTTGCTGTACGGGGTTTTCTTGATTCTCTGGCTAAATCAAAACAGACAGTATATTCTCCAGTTTGGGAGGGACATTGGGGGACTCACTAGGCTTTCCACATAAACCAGCAAACTCACGCATTTATATTCTTTGAGGGGACCCCACAATAGTGTTTTGTCCTTTTCGTTTCCCTTTAACAACAACCAAAACAGGAGTACCCTAGAAAACAACACACGTATATATATATATATATATAGATATACACATATACATATGTACAAATATACATATATACATAAGCCTTGGCCTTTTTTTGCCTAACCAGTGGATGATAAACTTCTGGATCCGCGCTAGAAGGGACACGCATGTACGTATGTGTATATATATATATATATATATATACATGTATGTGTATATATATATATATACACATATATGTATATATATATATACACACAGGGCCTTAAAAAAAAGAAAAACAACACTAGAAGGTCCAAGCCAAACCGCCCTGGGCCGCCCAGCACTACGCGCCCTCCGGGCGCCTACGCCTGGACGGGCGGCCGCTGCTGGGCACGGAGGAGGACCTGGCGCTGAGGCGCCAGAGGCCGCGGGCGCAGCTCGGGCCAAAGGGAACCGGGCAGCCAAAACATGGTTGTGCTTAATGTTCACCCATTAATCAACCCATCCCATTATTAGGGGTTCCCTCCAAAAGTGGTCTGAATCTCCACTCAAAGGGGACACCCCCCTATGAATCAACCAGGGGTGTATCAATCCGGGGTTAATATTACCGGGCACAGGGCCATCCCCTTTCCATAGCACAAGGTTCTTTGAGCCCTTGACTTGCAGTTTTTTTTTCACTTGCTCAATCCAGGAAATCTCCATGCAGAACATTCAGTCTGCCATTTGCATGGTTGTTGTTGGGAAGCAGTTTTTACATTTTTGCCTATTGAGGTTTAGTGGGAAATCCCCACTTAGCTGCCAACATTTAGATTTTTGCTCCCCTTCCAGGGTCAACCAAGAAAAGCAAACGGGGCGGGGAGTCCCGTGGCGCGTCGGTTCCTGGAGTCTCCATGACCCTGACAAAAATGGGGTCATTACCCATAATAATGGGGTCATTCACCCATTTTTAAGGGGTCATGGAGACTCCAGGTGGCTATCGTTTCCAAAGAGGCTTGGAATCCCAGCAGTTGAAGCGCAGCACCGGCTTTTTGGTCCTTTTTGATGCTTTTGTTGCCGTTTTGGCGCAAGGGAAGGGGCGAAGTTGGTTTCAAGAAGCAACCAGCCAGTTGTGCGACTGGAATCGTTGCAAGGGCGGTCCAAGCTTTTCTAAGGCTGAGAGCCTGAGAGTGGGAGCCATCTCTCGGGTCCGAGACCTTTTGGGGGCAGGGCTTCTTGGTTCGCCATCCGGTTCTTTTCTTCTTTCTTTTTGTGTGTTTGTGGTAGGGACCCACACCAAAGGGATCAAAGGGTTTGGAAAAGGTTCGGCTTGCTCTGAATCTCACGGAGGTTCGGACATAAGTCAAAAACTTGGCCTCGGGGCTTCAGACGGAAGGGAACACAGGCTTGTTTCAACCACGAAAGGCAGGGGGACTCCCAGGGAGGTGAACCTTGCCTTAAGTTGACGGTTCCAATGGCCACCAAAACATAGCCCCCAACAAAAGGCGGAAGATGTCTCGAGGGACTCTCAAAACTTAGCCGCGGTTGACCCTTTCTTTTTTTTTCCGTGTCTCAGGTTCATCCAGCCGCTGGGGAAGCCTCGGCTGAAGCGCAGCTGGTCTTCGGGTGACATTTGGCGCTTCTACCTCGGGCAGTGCCTCGCTCTCTCCCCGACGGCCGTTCTCTGGAGTTTTTCTTTCAATCATTTCCCCCCCTGTTGGTTTTGAAGGAGAATCTGTCACTATGTTTTTTGGTTTTCCAGGGGGCTGAAGCAAATGGAAGGAGAAGGGAATTCTTTTTGGATGGAGGAGGGGAAGGGGGAAGGAAGCAATCCACCAAGAGGAATCGGCCTTTGAGACACACTTCAAGGTGACAGGCTCTCAATATTGGCCCTTTTGCAGCGAAACTGCTGGTTGCTCGGAAGGCCGGTTTGGAGAGGGGCAGGTTCCTTGGGTTCCTTGAAGGTTGTGCGTGGGGTTCGGGGTGTTCTGTGGAGTATTGATGTTCGGTCCATTCAGTCAATGGTCCAACCAGGAGGAATCACTATTCTTGGGGCCACAACGAGGATTCGCATATTTTGACCCCTCATGCAAGTGTCTCACAGCAATCAAGATGCATTCATCAAGTCTACTTTCAGTCCAGAAAATGGATTGAATGTGGCTTTTGTGGATCCGCCCCTCTAGGATATCAAAAGAGTACAAAAAGAGTTCTAAAACAGAACCTACAGGGGGAAGAACAGGTGAAATCCACAAAACACGCATCCAAACCGTTTTCTAGACTCAGGGCTTGATCGCTCTCGAGCCATGCCAGAAACGTTGCCTGTTGCACTCGAAGAGCCAAATCAGGAGCAAAGGAACATCCTACAACAAGCATCCCCCATTATCCAAGTCCCTGCGAGTCTTGACTCATTCGAACGCTGGAGGTCTTGAACGCTGCGAAGATGCCGCCCCAAGTTCCAAGACCCCAATTCCAGTCGTTGCAACATTGGTTCCACCAAGCAGATCCTGGTATTCAACGTTACGGGCACTACGTGTTACCGTCATGTACCCTCAAGCTACCACCTGGGGGCGTTTAAATATAGGGCTTGATCAATCTTCCCTTCGGCCCCCCAAATGATGGGTAACTTTTTCCCATGGACATGTAACATCAATGAATCAAGTCTCTTGTTTTGTTGGTTTCCAACCAATGCGTCCCCCAAATGTTTCCAACCATTTTTTCCCATGAACATATTTATCAAGTCTCTTGTTTTGTTGGTTTCCCAACCAACCGTGTCCCATGTATTCCGATGGGACCTTTTCGTCAATCAAATGATTGCGTTTGGGTTTGGTTGCTGTTGACCCCTCTGCAAAAAAACAACTTTTTGTGGGTTTAATGGAAAACCCCTTGATTTCCCAACAAGTTAAAGTCTAAAGATCCAACCGCCTGAGGCCGGATTTGCCGGAGCCCCTGGGCCGTGCCAGCTTCGCGCGGAACCTGGGCTTCGAGCAGTGGCAGGCGCCAGCTTCGCGCAACCTGAAAGGGCACTCGAGGCATTGTGGGTTTCCCTTGAAAAAACCAGGGTTAAAAAAAACCATGGTGTTTTTTTCTTTTGTTTTTCTTCTTATTTTTTTTTCCTGGGCTCATTGAAGTGGTTGCATTTTGAGGGGTCAACATATCTCGAATCATGTTTCTGCGGGGTGGGAAATCTGTTTGAATCACGGCTTGGAGGGTCATTTTGAGGATGTCACTTTGGTAAACCTAGTTTACACCACTAAGAAATTCGCAACATTTTTCGACGGCACTGTCTGACGGTTTGGTTTGGGCCTTGAATTATTCTTGCTCTCAGCAAGGAATGAGGGAAGGACCCCGAACAAAACCATCCCACGGGTGGTTTCATTTAAGGGCACCAAAGCCTGGGCTCATTCAACCACATTCCCTTCCTATCGCACCAGCTTTTTTTTGCCATTCTTGCTGTGCAGGTGAAGGAGAAGCACTGGCGCTGGCTGGCCGTGAGGCACTTCCGCCGCAACCGCTGCAGCCTGCAACTCTCCTACTCGCTGCCGGATCTGAATGTCTCCTGGCAGAAGGGGCATGGGGGGATTTTCCAGAATATTTGATCTATGACTGAGACATAAATACATACATATGTATGTATGCATATTTGAGAAACTCCGCTTGTAATCTCGACGCCAAGAGTCTCGGGGAGTGGCTTGGGCTTTTTCCTTTGGCGAATCGGCACTCCCCCGGCATTCTGGGTGTCTTCCTTTACTGGGCGATCCTCTCAAATGGGGCTGGGTGGGGTAGTTTTTAGGGTTCAAGGCTGCAAAAGATAATTAGAGCGCCTGGGGGGGGGGGGAGGTCCTGGGGCACTGGATCCCTGAGGAAGTTTGTGGCCCTGGATCTATTTCAGCATGATATATTGATGTACACCGAATGGATTGATCACGGAGAGCGGGCCGCACGGCTTTTTACAAGTGCATGGATTGCTCTCAGTAAAAAGATAATGTGCAAGAAGTTGGCCCCTGAGCCAACAAGGTTCTACGATTGGGGTTCAAGGTGATGCAAAAGCAAACGCGAAAAACACAAGTTTCTTTTGAGCAGCCACATGGAATTCCTGTATTAGATTCAGGATGAAGTTGGCTTAGCCCTGTATGCCGTAGCCTTTCCAAGTTAGATCTCATGAAAACCAGCCTGTTTCACTCCTTCCATGATTGATCCCATTCTTGGTCACTCCAGCCGGCATATGTAAGCTCTGAAAGGTCAGCAGCCTGCTGCGTGGCAGGATGTTCCTCCAGTTTCTCTGCGATGGCTGCAAACGTTTGGGATTCTGTCCGCCTTTTCCTTTGCCAATGTCATAGGATGGATCACCTTTGTTTCCATCGAAAGGGTATTGGAATTTTGATTTTCCTTTCTTTCCTTTCTTGCCTTGGGCACTCCCCCAATATGCCTGGTCGTAGGGATCATAGTTTTTGTTGTCCATAGTGGCCTTTCCGTCGGATGCGCTCTTGCGAAAGAATTTGAAGCCACCTCGTCAGTGACCCTTTTTGTTTCTGGACTTTCCTTTGCCCTTTCTTCTCCCGAACCTCAAATTCCGCCCAGACACTTTTCTGGGAATGAACGCGTCATTCTCCTCAAGGGCCCAGAATGTCTCTTGGTGCCATGAACCCTTTCTTCGTGTTCTCCTTGTTCAGGAGGTAGAGGGTGTGGTTGCGATTGCCTCCTGAAGGCTGAAAGCGGATGGATGGGTCTTTGTCTGGTCGTGATGAAGAGATTGTGATGCTGACCGTGTCTTCAGCTCAAACACATTGCACTGATCAGTTGTTTTCTCTGCGACAACTCACTCTGAATGATGCAATAAGATTGTCACTGAGTGGAAATGCATCCCCGTGTCTTGTCTGCGTGCCGTTGATGTACTGTCTCAGTACTTCTGGATCGTCTGCGGCAGATTTACCTGGAGGTGGTGCCTTGCACTGGCAGCTTGCTGGTGCTGCACAATCCTTCTTGCGTGTGCGTCTTGAACGGATGCGAGAAAGTCTGGTGACTGTGCCGTATAAACGGGCATCAGGTCATTCCAGAATACCTTGAATCTTCTGAGAAGGATGGCCCTGGTCTGCAAGGGTAAAAAAAAAATCCCCACGTCCATGCGGGAACAAAAGGCGCAACCCGATTTGGCGCTTCCGATGTCGCAGGTGCTGAAGGAGCGTGCCATGGAGGTGGACTTTGGAAAGGCTTTGGGGCGCACAGAGCCGGAGGCGGAAGCGGGGAAGCGGACATGGATCTCCGCCCTTGCTGGAATGAAAGAAACTGGGGTAGACTTAGGATACATTTTAATTTTGTCAGTGACTCACAGTGCAGCAAAGAATAAACATATATATTCTATAGCTGGGCCTAACTCTACTCAAGGAAAAAAAGTGTTTGGATGTGTCTTTCTTTCAGAGTTTGCGACCTTTTTTGGTTGGTGTTTGAGGCAGATCGAAAGGAATACCATCATTTTGGGATTTTGGGGGCCCGATTCCTTAAAAAGGATGAGCTACCCAATTGAATCCTGTAGGCCTTTGGGAAGTCTAGCAAACTCAATGCAGCCCCGATGCTTGGCGGTTCCAAGCCGTCCGGTTCCACTGAAAGTTAATGTTTTAGCCGTGGATTTGAGCACTAAGGAATTTCCGGAAGGGGTTTTGGGAATGAACCGGAAGGGAAATTTGAATGACACTGCAAGCCAGAGAGCGCGCAGAATACCACCAGGAGGAATAAAGCTAGTGTACGCAACTTCCACCTATGCTCAACACGGCTTTGTTCAGACGCTCAGGCCTGTTGCCCCAAGACGCTGATACCCAAGACTTGTGAATTATCCATGTGCCATACCCACGTAAGGATGCTCAAGTGCCCATTTCAACCTTATAGCACCAAAACTGAGCACGGTCACGGATCACCGGATACGGGAGAAAAGCGATGGTTTATAACCTACTGAGAACCGGCAAGTTCCGTCAGGGCTCTCTTTGCAAGGCAACTGTTTGTCCTTCTGGGGATGTGTAATCAGGCTTGGGTTACAAGGTTGTGTATACTTCCCTAATCCCATAAACATTAAGCGCATTTTCTCACCACAACACCGAACACCCCACCTGAGATTTGGTTCAGATACCCAGTCGAGGGATACTTCGGGAAAGACAGGGGGACGAGCCACTCTAACTAGGAATCCAGAAGTCGGCGCAGTTTGCAGACGCTTCTGTCAGCTCTAGGCCTGCTGTCCCTTGCGACTTTTGGTCACCACCAAACCCACAAACAACCCTCCCTGAACCCACACTCAAACCCACCTTGATCCCAGCCTGAACCCACAAAGCCATCCTCACACGATATCAGGAGGACAGTGATGGGGACGTGCTGCTGCTCTCTCCCGCCCGAGTGCTCCCGCGCACCGAGTGCTTTGTGGACATGGCCAAGCAGACGGGCCGTGAAGAGGAGCAGGAGGCGCGGCACTGTTTTTTTTGGCCGAGCAGGAGTTAGGTACAGACAGGGGTCCCAGACTTTGTTTTTGCATTTGGCACATGTCAGGAGAGTCTAGGGGTAGGGGTAGGGGTACTTGTTCGAGGGGAAATGGGGAAATGAAGGGAACCCTGATGTAGGAGCAGCGCCACTCAAAAACGCAATTGTAGTGTATGCAAGTTATGTGAGCAGCTGTCAAGACTACTGGTTGTCTATTCCCAGTCTGGGGGGGGGGGGACAAGAAGGGGGGGCCGCCCAAATGTTTATTGCAAAACCAGGGCGGGCACATTTCCTGTGTTCTTTAGGGGGGCAACAAGTCATTTTGTCCAGAGTTTAAACATGGTCGTGCGAATTTCTATTAGAAAGCCAGGACCACAGACAGCAACTTCCCAGCCGCAAGCAAAGTATTTGGTGACTCGTTCGCCACACCATCAATCAGTTTGACCACTCTGCTGAAAGCCCGAGCTGAAAGCCCAACGCTTAACCTGGCTCCCGCCCATCGCCTTGTATCAAAGATGGTTTCCACACTACCCGGGGAAAACGGGAGGCTATAGCTTGTACATGGATGGTGAGGCCTGTGGAACACTCTGAAACATCTGTAGGAAGGTCGCCAAAACCAGTGGAAATCAGCTGTTTTTGTTTAGTGAATTTCCGGTCGACATCATCTTGCTGGTTTCCTAGAACGCTGGGCTCGGCTCCAGGAGGAGGGCGACGTGCTGTTGCTCTCCCCGGTGCAAGCTCCGCGGATCCCCTGCTTCGTTGACATGGGCAGACAGACGGGGCGAGAAGAGGAGGAGAAGGATGACTTCGAAGCCCGGTTTTTTGCACATGGGGATTGATCAATATTCCCTTCGGCTCACTTTTCAACCATATAGTTGGACATATCATTTTCTTTAGCGGTTTTCTGACCAGTGGTCAGACCAGAATTATCCCTCGGCGGGAGTCGCAGACCTCGTATCCCCAGCACAATGTGTGGTAAGCTCACCTCCAGTGCAGCCCTCGTTTCCAGCAACAACTTGCTGGTGCTCAGTAGGGAATGACCTTCCGGGTGTTGGGAATGAACCCAGGGGATTCCCTTGAAGGAAACCATAGGGGATGGTTTTTAGAGAACATTCCCTCATTCCCTGCTGAGAGCCAGCAAGAAAATGAAGCTCAGCTCGTGTTTCTCTTTCTGGCGCAGCGCCTGGTATTTGGGACAGTGAGTTGCAGTGAGAAGCAGCGCACGGTTGTTGGACTCCGATCGTTGGACTCCGATCGTTTTCTCCACTTTTGCTTATTCCCCTGTATGGTTTGCCGGGTTCCATGCTGATCCGGAGGGGAGTGGCATGCAACTTTTGCAGGTGAGGGCATGCGTTTTGCAGGCAGCCTTCCTTGATCTGAGCAACGGTCAACATGTACTGTCATACACTGACTGTAGTAAAGAAATGACAAGGGTCATTCGAGTCCCCCCCCCCCCAAGAAAAAGAAAGATAAATAAATAATATAACTTCGGGGGGTTACTCAGACACTTCACAATAGGTTCGACAAAGACATTAGTCTACGGTCCAGTTGGGAGGGATATGGGTATGGGTCAAAATCAAACCACCAGGGGACCGCAGGTCTTCGTCCCTGATTCCGTTTAACCAGGGTTCCATTTTGGGTACTTTTTTGACCCACAGCCATATGGGAGCTCACCAAAAATCAAGAGACACGGGGTGAGCTCCGATTTTCCCATGTCGTTTCGGAATTTGCACTGCACATATCAAGTTGCGCAAATCGTCAAGACACATGGGGCCAACATGGGGCGAGCCCTGGGGGTCGCCCTCTGAATCTCCGAGGAAGAGCTGGTGCTCAGCCCCAAGCGACCCGAGAAGCGGAGCCATTGCTTCGTGGACATGGCTCGGGCAGCTCGGCCCTTCGCCCCCCACCCAGCGTTTGCCCCCGTTTTGCGGCATCGTCGGAGCCCGAAGCTAAGAGAGGTCAGCTCTGTGAGGGCTGAGTTGTTTTTTACACTTTATTTTTTCTTCTCTTTAGCCACGCGTGTAGCAGTCTGTCACAGTTTGTGCTTTCAGTAAACTAAACGAGTTCCGATCGCTGGCGGGTTTATAATCGATCGCCGCAGGACAATTGTCATATGTTTTGCGCTCCTCCGAAAAAGCATGTTGCATGGATGTGTTCTTGAAATTTGGGACTTGTCAGGTGGTAGGTTTCCTTTTGGTTTCGCCTCCAACAAGGGGACGGCTATTTTCCTATCCCCAATGCCAGACCGGGTTTGCAACTTAGGATGTTGGGCGCAACCAAGCCTCGAAGGAGCACGAGGTGGGGAGCAGACATGGGGGGAGGTCAGGCTTGGGTAAAATTGGTTTTGACCTGGCCATGAACAGAAGGGGATCCAAAGTTGACACAACAAGTCTATGTTTGAACAGGGATTTGGGCCAATGATGGTCGTCCTTTGATAAGACCATTTTCGAGATTCCGGGACCTGCAGCCACTGGTTTCAGCTGGCTCAAGACCTTTTAATAGGTCGTAGTCTGACCACTCTCGGCCAGGGGTGGTCTCCCTTTGGCCCTTGTTCCTTTTGAACAGCCCGAAGGGTTCCAGGTTTTTATATGCCCCAGCGTCGTCATGTTCGGAGTCGCATCTCTGGCCAGGAAGAGGTGTTGCTCACCAACTGGTCGCCGCCCTTCACGGTACCATAATTCAGGAGGAATTCGAGCGAAGCCGAGGTGTTTCTTTTGGTTTGAGGTGTCACATTCATTTTGTTCAGCAGTTTGTTTGCAGATTTGTTGCAGCTCACTGAACGCCTCAGTCTGCAGGTAATCCTTTCAAGCCGTCGGCCGTTTAGCGCATGCAAGCTGCCGAATCCATGAACGCTCATGGAAAAAGGTTTGTTTGCGGGGGAGCACCTAGCATATAATCCTTTCAGGGTGATTTCGCCTCGCAGTCATCTTTGCTTCAGACGGAACGCATCGAAACATGGCTACAACGTGGCAGCACTTGAGCACGAGCGACACTGACCAGCCTGCGCATGAACAAAAAACAGTGATGGTTCCTCGGATTCCAAGCATTGCAAGGCCGACCCCGGATTAATCAACCTGCTGCATTGGGGGATGTTGGCCCCAAAAAAGTGAAACCCTGAAGGGGCTCTTAAATCACATGAATCAACCCCGGGTCTGAGAATCCTGGGTCAAGTGTTAAACTTCGAATCTCAAGTATGTTCCTGGGACTCGAAGATTTGAGGGAAGCGTCCAGCATGGTTGGATCCAGATGCTTTTAGCAGCTGAAACCAACGCATTGACCAGGTAGTTTTTCGATAACGTTGTGTTGGAGCTTCTTGCAGCCAGATGAAGACCATCTTGATTTGTAATGCGAGCTGTCCATTCACTTGTTTGTTTGCAAAAGGGGTGAAGAGTTCCATCACTCCGAAACTTGTCCCTTGTCCTTGGCCTACCTGGCCTTTGGGTGTGGGCAGAACGCAAACGTCTGACGCCGGGTTCCCAAGATTCGGATCAGGAGTCTCACACATGGGACACTCAGTAAGTCCGCCCTAGTGGGGGGTCCCTTTTTCGTCTCGCAAACTGACTAGGTCCCCCAGTGGTGCCCTTTTACCCTTTTGTTGGGGGAGGGTTCCCCTACTAAAATAGACTAAAGAAAAAGTTGGTACCCTTATTCCAACTGCAGGACCTAGTTGAGCATTGTGGTTCTGCATCCGCACCACGGCGCATCCCTCTTTCCTGCCGCAGGCCAAAAGTCCCGATGCTTAAACCTGTAGCCCATTGCGCTCAAAGCGCTCAGCGTGCTTAGGATAAACTGGACTGAATCAAAGGGAATTGTCGACTGAAAGGAAATGCACACTCTTCATCGCTTACTGGGACGGAGCGTTATACTTATGAAAAAGAACCAGCTTCGCATCTACAGTAAGACACCATGTTGGCAATGCTTCGAACTTCAGTCATGATTTCCATCTGATTTTGGAATGGCTTCCCTAGTGAAACAGGAGATGTTCGATGCCCGTGAATGCCGGCTGCCCTTTAAGAAAGTTGTTTTTTCTTTCCGTGCAGTCTCTCCGTTTTCTGCTTGGGTTCCAGTGGAGTTGGCCCAGTTGGTGACCTCTCTACAGCAAACGTGTCCCAAGAAAAGTTCGATTTGTACCCCTTAAACGTCGAAATTTGCTGCCCTGCTTCTGGCTTTTGTGGGAACCGAGAAAAACAATCTGCTAGCTTGTCCTGCAAGCAAGCAAAAGTGTCAGCTGACGTTGGCAGGGCACCTGCCAAGCTGGCCACAGTATCCTCGGGTACTGTTTCAACTATCAGGTGAAAGGACACAGAAACGCCATTTGCAAGGGTGACATACTGTCGATGGACAAAATCCTGCACCAGTTGCTAGGTGGTTCACCCTGGATTCAAATGTTTCATTCATTTTGCTTCTGGCTTCCCTTCAACCCCCCCCAAAAGAGGCACCTACGCAAAAAAACACCCATCTGATCTCCAGTTGAGATCACAGGCTATAAAGATGCATCGATAAAGGCTCAGAATTAAGCCTTCTTCTGGCAGTCGGCAAAGCAGCCCCTGTTTGCCTGGCCCAGCCATGGGACACTGCGAGGCTTCGGCGAAATCGCGGATCTATCGGGCGCCTTTATGCTACACGGTGTTGCACTTGTGACTCTTTGAGAAGGCAAGTCTATACGATAGATTCAAAGGTGAGCCAAATGATTCGCGTGGCACACTCGACGGTGCAAACAATCATTTAATTGTATCACAGACTCGGACAGATGCATTGCAGCGGATCAGCCGCCCACCCTTTGCCTCCCGCCCGGTCTGCTCTGAGGCTCAAAAGGGAGCAAAGCCTTCAGAGTGGACAGAACCAGCATTAGAAAGCCGGGCGGAGTTTGGTGGAACTTTGATGAGTCAAGTTTTTTAGTTTTTTTTCATGACATGAGGTCCCCAAAGCGCTGTCCTGCAGCAAAGTTGTTGTGTCAAAGATAGCATCGTTGCTGCCTCTGCGCCAGAATTGCCCATGACCAAGGCGAGATCGATGCATTTTAACGCTGGCATGCTGTGACAAGCTTTCTGAGTCACCTTTGGTGCCCGCTTTTCCATGCCTTCACGTGCGCATTGCTTGCCATGCCCGCACCAGGATCAAGGCACCCCATCGCGCAACGACTTGCAGGCGCGTGGTGTCGATTATCTTTCAATGTCAAGCCTGCCTGCATTTGAGTTTGCTTGCCGATCAGAGAGGAAAAAGCGCCTTGACTTCCAAAAGGGCACTCGCTTGAGGACGCTATGTGTAAGAAGCACGATTGAAAGAGTGACACGTGTCTGCTTGATGAAAGGATGGCTTTCGCAAGGGGATTAACCAGGCATCCGGCACGGATCTTGTGCACGTACAGTCGTTGTTTTGGCTCACGGCGGAATTAGCAACCATGAGCTCTCAAGCCACTTTTTGGGGTTGAGGGGCGGGTGGGTGGGTGGGTGGTTGGGTGTTTTCAAACATGTTGACTTTGCGTCAGCCAATGCAGACACACGCACACTCACACGCACACGCACAGGCACACGCACACGCACCCGCACCCGCACCCGCACACGCACACGCCCACACCCACGCGCACGCCCACTCACATGCACACGCACACGCACACGCACACGCACACGCACACGCACCCGCACCCGCACACGCACACGCACACGCCCACGCCCACGCCCACGCAGATACAGAGCACACGCACGCCGGCCGTGCGTGCCGGAACCTCTGTGTCCATGCATAGGCCGCTTTTCTCGCGAAAACAGGCTGACCGAACATAGTTACATAGACGGACATACACCGAAGCGCAATTACGTTTGAGCTGACTATGGCACTTGGACATCATGCCCACAAGTCTGTTGTGTGTGCAGGTTGCCTTGTCAGAGCCACCACAGCCCAACGGTTGTTACGGTCAACCTCGTTGGCTTGCGTCGACAAACATGTTCAAGTTGCCAGAACCCAGCTGTTCTTGCGTCAACTTTCATGGCCTTGAGTCGATAGACATGTTCAACAGAAGAACAAGAAGCTCAGACAGGCGTAGTCTTCGCGCGGCAGCCAAAAAAGAATTAGCTGCGGGGAAGTGTGGCAGCAAATGTGCTGCGCTCTATTGGCAAAGGCAGAAAGAAATATAAAACTGCTGCAACATGCTTCAGTTGGCCACTTGAAAATGCACTGGGAATTGCCATAAGTTTGGCTTTGACCGATGCAGTGATGGTGTTGCGGGGCCTCACAGTCGCTAACGGCGCCGTGACCTTGTTTTGAATAGGTGCGCCGGAACACACGCGCAAACCCACATACTCATACATGTGCATAAATGTATATATGTGTGTACATATGAATGTATATTTCATTTATGCGTTTGCTTGTTTGTTTCTCAACTTATTCATTTGTACATGCATACATGCATGCATGCATGCATCAATACCTACCTACCTACCTACCTACCTACCTCCCTCTGTCCGTCCGTTCGTTCGTCCGTACGCACATACACACACACATACACGCCTACACTTGTACGCGCACACATGCATACAAACACACATACACACACACACACACACATGCACACACACACACACACACACACACACACACACACACACACACACACACACACACACACACACACACACACACACACACACACACACACACGCCCACGCCACGCCCACGCCCACGCCCACGCCCGCGCCCACGCCCACGCCGCCCACGCCCACGCCCACGCCCACGCCCACGCCCACGCCCACGCCCACGCCCACGCCCACGC